ATACGGCGGAAGGCATCGAAAGGGTGTCCGTCCGTCCCATTATTGCCGGAGCGGCACGAATATCGCCCGCAAAGCTCTCCAGGCGTTAGAAGGTATTTGTTTGATAGCGAATGACTCTTCCGATGGCATTATTGACGTGTTTTGTATTTTTAGGCGTAAAATGGGTTGAAAAGGACGCCAACACTGGAGGCCGAAGAATGACGAGCCAAGGAGTGCGCGATTTGGACAGAATTGCTGCCCAACTGAGGAGTGCGACCAAAGCCAGACTCCTGGCCGAGGCTGCGGCCGCGTCTTTGACCGTCGTTTAATTGAATTAAATATTGATGTAATGTTTGGAATTCAATAAATTTTCTTAATTAATGGAAACATTTGGTGTTATTTAAATTATTAGTTGTTTAAATTTGATTTGAGTTATGATTTATTGGTTTAGAGTTCAAATACTCTAACTCTACTTTAACTGCTCTGTTTGTGTTGACCACTGGTATTGTCGGCGGAATCTATTTGTATCGTCAGTTCGCCCAATACAGAGTGAGTGACCATTATATCTGGATTTGTGTTTACACGTAATGTTACTTTTGTATTAAAAACAATTTGATAATTGTATAGTTGCGACACTTCAGAGGCTGGTGTACTGTAGTATCCCATATGTGGATCAATCGGGTCGTTAGGCTAAAGAAATGCGCCAATCGATGGGCGAGCAGTTGGAAGCGGCCGATTCCAAGTATTTCGATGAAGAGTTTGATATAGACGTGGAGTTTGAACAATACGAACGAATAGAAGTCCCAAACTTTTCTCATGGAAGAAGAGGACGATTTGTTCACGACTTCGCAAAGGTATTCACTCAACTATATTTATATATTGTATTGAATTAGTGTCTAACTTATTGCTTATTCTATAATTCTGTACATTAAATAATATATACTTAAGTTTATTTCTAAAAATAAGTTACAAATTCTTTAATGAAAATAAATAAATTGAAAGTTTTATTTTAAATTTTCTTCAAATTCAATGTTAATGAGCTATTAATGGTCTCATATATTCTTCAATGCAAATATTTAAATATCAAAATAATTTATCATT